CCATCCATCCATCCATCCATCCATCCATCCATCCATCCATCCATCCAGCCATCCAGCCATCCAGCCATCCAGTTGCTTAATCGCAGCAGTCACTGTGTAAAAGAGAGGGACACCCAGTACAGATCTCCAGTCCATCACAGGGCCACTAATAGAGACAAACGAGACAACCAACATCCACCCCCCACTCACACCTAGAAGAACCTGGAGAAAACCTTCATGAGAAGAACACAAACTCCACCCAGGAGGCAAACTTGTGACCTTCTCGCTGTCAGGCAACAGCTCTAACCACTGCCCACCTCTACCACCCAACATAGATGGAGTGTTGCTAATTAGTGATTTTAAAGCAATGGTCTTCAATAAACTTAATAAATAAATGCAGGGTTTCCTCATTTATATAATTTATGCAAGCTGATCTTGTTTTAGGAAAGAAGATGGTTTAAGGACAAAAAAAGGTTTGGGTTTGATAAGTTATTTCTCTGTAATTTACACTGTATTTGGTTTTTATGTACTCACGATGACTTTTTACTGAATAAAACAGAGAAAATTTTCTGTCATACTGTTCTGATGGTTTAAATTAATTAAATAATGAGATAACAGACATTGATCTTTTACCCCCAACTGAGCCTGTTGCTCAGAGACTTCCTTCTGTTGCGTACAGTAGCTGAATTCTCACAAACATTTATGTTCATTAAAAAGTAAAATGTTGGTTGTACATTCAGCGGATAACTCAGTCGAACATGGCTTATCTACCAGAGGGGTGGCACCCGTCTCTCTTTTATTTCAAAGATAATGCTATTCTGAAACAAATTTTTTCAACAAGCTACAAGAGTTAGCATGTTAGCAGCTAAAATATTCACCCAGTCTCTTTGTTGAGGCTAATACCTCAGCTTGTCAGGCTCCAACACAACTTTACAAGACAGAACAGCAGAGAAGAAATGAGGCGTGCAAATAGGCACAATTCATTTAGAGCGATACATAAATTGATTTAGTGGTGTAGTCTAGTCTGTTCTGTCACTTGTGTGCAGTAAAAAAGCTTTCTCCTTTTATTTCTCTTAAAGTAAAACACACCTCGTTTCAAAGGTACGCAACTTAACAGTCGGACAAACATAAAACTGTTTCTTGAGGGGTGTCCTTAAACAAGCTGCTCGTGGTCATTCATGTCCATAATGTCCTCTAGAATCTGTTCAGAAACAGCACTAGTTCAAAACTGCCTGTAAACGCCTTGGTGTTAAAAATACAAATCAATATTCATACTCATGCTTAAATAAAAAAATTGCCTTGAACCTAAATAATACAGTAACTAAATATTGTATGAATAAAAAAAACCTACCCATAAATTAGAGGAAGTGATGGAGTTTTTCTGTTTCAGGTCTAAAACTATAGAAAGTTTCCGCTGCATGTTAGGCAGGCTCACTCTCTTAAGTCACGTTTAAAATCACACTTTTATTCCCGGGCCTTCGATCCAGTGTGAGATGATTTTAACCTTATAGGGCTTTTATTTATTTACCTAGTGGTTTTAATTGTTTCTTATTTTTCCTTCAGTAGATTGGTGTTTTTTTATTTGCTTATTTGGTTTATTTTACAACACTTTGGACGGTCTTGTTGCTATTTTTAAGTTCTTTATAAATGAGGTAGCACGGTGTTTGTCCTGAGTGCAGGAAAAATCTGACACGGACTTTAACATCTGACTGTCAGCATGTTCACTAGTGTTCTTCCAGTCTTCCTATTTGTATTTGGGCGTTAAATTAACATAACCATATTATTAATTATAGTCATCATATTATAGTACTATTGAATCTGTAATATAATAATTTTTAAAAATGTGTCATTTTTAGTAATAGTTTTTTCCTTCCTGTTTTTAAATAGAATCAAATACAGTAGTCCCTCGCTAGTTCGCGGTTCATTTTTCGCGAACTCGCTCTATTGCGGTTTTTCAAAGTAAGATTGGACATGGCACACAACTGGCTGATTGATGGATGAGCCGCACGATCAGCATAGAATTTCTATTTAAAATAAATTATTTAAAATTATTTAGCACCCGTGTGCAGCCCACAGCTGTGGGTGAGGCTTCCTCCTGCAGCTGGTCAACTGATTTCTGTGCAGAGCAGAAAAGTGGGCGTGGCCGAGAGTGCAGCCAGAGGCAGAGAGATGAAATCATGACATGCTGTGCTCTTTTAGAGCATTTAGAGTTTACAAACATTGCTTAGAATATTGCAAGAGTGTGGAAAGGGTTTAAAACGCCTTAATATATATACCGGTATATCAATATTAAAATAAACTACTACTTACTACTAGGGCATTAACAGAGTACTCGAGTAATCTACACATCGATTGCTAGGACATCTATCGAGGTTAAAAATGTAACGTCGAGTAACCGTAGTGACGTCATATTATGTGACCACCGTATGACCGTAGGGGGCGGTGTTGCATTGTTGCAGGTCACAGAGTTTAGTGTAACACCGGGTCCAATCCACCGAACCAGAACCAGCTTCCTCTGACCTTGTTTCACAAACAAAAAGCAAAAAATATTAATCTCTAAACCTATAAAAAAAAATCTATAAACATATTACTCTCTAAAACTAAACTTAAGCAGCCCCCCCCCCCCCCCCGTTTTAAGTTTCGTTTTTGACGTGCTGCGTGTTTCTTCACGTTTGCAGTTTAATAATAATAACTAATAGTTTAGTTTTTCCTGTGACTTATTTGCAGTATGATAAATGGTAGGAGCATAATATACGCTCCCAATGTTTTGTTGGTCTTTTTTTTGTAAATAATTACCTTCTTTTTTTTTGCGGTTTTATTTATTTATTTATTTTTGTATCTTGAGATCTATGACATCATCAAACACTCAATTCTACTCGGGTTTTATTATGTTAATGTCGAGTTTAAACATTAAATACTCGTTAAACCCCTACTTACTACTTGTACCTACTTCTCAGTTTTTCACTTATCGTGGGGCTTCAGGGTACAGATCCCCCGCGATAAACGAGGGACTACTGTGCATCAGATTTTTACATTTTTGTTTTAATATCGTAACAATTGTATTGCGCAATCGTGGTACTTTTGCTCACTGTTATTTTAAGGTCAAACTCTCACACCAGCCCATGCCTAAAAGCAACCAGTTAGTTTTATAGCTGTGGATGTTTTAATCAATTTACCTTGAATCATTTTTTCCTAATTATTTCTTCAAACCTGCTTCTTATTCCAGGTCTTGCCTGACCAGTAGGAGCCCTGCTGTGTCCGTATGTAACCGTGTCAGAGCGCTGCTTCGGCTGCCCTCAAAACAGCTGCGCTCCCCCCTCCTCCCCCACACTGTCCCCTGTAGTTAGCCTTCTCAGGACACCATGGCTGTAGGGATATTACACACATATCCGCTGTCCAGCTGAAAGCAGCAGATGGGTTGTAGCTCCACATTTGGAGAGCACCGTTAGAAGTTGCCCCTAGCAGCTGGAGTTAAATAAGGTGTGTTATGGCCCAAAGGTCTGTGCTTAATCCTCAAACCCTCAGAAAAACAAGGTGTTGACAAGTGAGGGGAAGAATAGCATTTTGTCCAGAAGTGACAAGTGTTGCCTTTGAGACAAATGGAACTACAACAAGGAGCTGGCCAGCTCATGGATGGAACGACAAGCATTATTGTTATTCGCTAAAATGTAAACTGTGATCAAATCTACAAAACAAAAGGCCTAGAATAACTTGAAGGAACGCATATTGTCTGCCGCCTTTCATGCCAGAGTTTGAGACTTAAATCATTGCATGCTGGGAAATGACAGTTAACAAAATGTAGATCAAATATAGAAGTCATATGTGATTTCATGCAGTGCTACTACCACATCAAACTTTGGCACAATAACAGTAAAACTAACAGAAGTATAGCCATTTTGAAATGGACTGACATCTAATGTTACCATTCGTAGAGTAATATTGAATGATTATTTCCTTCAAGTGTCAGTAGAAGTGGTTCAATCATGTTATTTTGCTAACAGAAATGGATTGACTCCAACAGTTATTTCTCAAGTTTAAAGCAAAGACCTTGAGTGCATGTGTTGTGAATGACTCTCAACTACTACCATGCCAGGCTTGAACAAAATATCAGTAAAAATTAACTAATAAAACCATTGTTGTGTTTTTTTAAGGACAGCTGGCTGTGACAGCCATTTTGAATTGGGTTCACTATAAAGATTAATCAGTTGTAGGCGATTGTAGCCAGTGATTGCTTCATGTTTCACTTTTTTTTTACTGTTAATTGAGTCCAGATATTTTGGTAACAAGCACACACTGTTTTATTGAGTCTCCTTTAACTTTCACCTTCACCTCTTGGTTTGGATTATTAACATGCAGAAACAGGAACAAACTCTCGGGGATTGTCAGGATGTGCAGCAAAACTGTTGGCATAGCCCTACAGAACCTCACTGACCTACACAAGGCGAGGTCAGTGAACAAGGCCAGGCTGATTCTGGCAGATCCTGATCACCACTCCATGGTGAGTTCACGCTGCTTCCATCTGGACGCAGGTATCTGATGCCCAGATGTAGAACGAACAGAGTGAAGAACTCATTTATCTCTGTAGTGATCAGGCTTCTCAACCAACACTGATGATTTCTGTTATTTTAATGTCTTCATGTCTCGTCTAGTGTGGATGTTTTATGCACCTACTGACTGTGAAACAAATTGTCCCATGGGGATAATAAATAAAGGTTGAATGAATAAAGATTCACACTATCACACATAAAAACAGGCAAAAACAATATAATCCTCTTTTGCTTTTTGACAGTGGGCAATATATAAAATGTAAAAAAGTACACATGAACCCAAACCTTGGGTCTCTTACCTGTCTAATGAAGAAGTCCCCGTGAATCAGAGACACTAGACCAAAGTTGGTGTATTTGAACACATGGTCCATCAACCACATCATTTTCCGTACCACCTTAAAAAGACAGGAAAAAAAAAATGCAATGAACATTTGTAAAGCAAGCTTTTAATTCTGCTTAGTTTCATTTTTTTCTCTCCTATGGAGGCAGCACCAACTGATACGGCCCCTCTGAGCATTTCCACCCTCATAACCTTGCACCGATGCAGCTTTGGCTTACTGGCCTTTCAGTGCTAAGAGGATAAACTGGACCAGGGATGCAGTTGTTGAGGAGGATCATGTCATGTCTGTGTAGTGCAACTTGGCAGCTGCAGTGCTGAGCCAAAAGGGGGTAAAAATCATCATAAATAAAACAACAATAATAAGCAAGTGTCCTACTGAAACAGGATTGAGACATTTGGATATGTTTAGTCTGCATGCCTGTTTTATAGTCTGCACAAATGCAAAGCAGCAACTGCACCTCCTGGGCTGCTCAGTCACACAGTCAAACTCACATTTTATAATATGCCTACAGCAAACACAAAACTGTAGCCATTCTCCGTGTAATTACCAAACAAATTTTGGAGAAAAAAACGTCGCTTTAAGAGGTATGTTTCCATTTAGTGGTCTGGAGCAAACGAAACGAGCTGCACTTTGCTGCCAACACAGTAGTGGTTTTCAGCAAAATTACACAAGGTAGTAATAAAGTTGTAGAGGGCATCGCATGGCCGACAGAGAACAAAACCTTCAGGAAGGACAGAGAAGCCTTGGCTGTTCAGGATGGGAGGAAAACAGAGCATGTACTGGTAATTGTTTTCCAACATCAGCTGGAGCTGGCCTTTTGTTTTTACAGTAAAAGACAAAATATCTAAAAACTGATCATTCATGAGATCACTCGATAAATTTACGCCACAATATTTGTGTTTAGGTGTCTTCCTTTGTAAATGTTAGTCTTTTATTAATATTTTCATCTACAGGACCCTATAAACTAAAGCTGGTTTATAAATTAAACATTAAATAAGTAAAAAGTAGTAAGGAAGAACTAAACGCGGAAACAGTTACATGTTTAACTGACTCTTCTCTGTGAGCAGATTTGATTAAATAAACTGATGACTGAAACATTCGTTTACATATGACAAAATATTGGTGTTTAAACCTAAAAGGGACCATTTCTCACTTTAAAATTGGTTACTAAATTTGACTGCCTTTCCCCTCTCTAAACATTTTTTATCCTGGCCAGTTGGTCAGGTGCTGCATAAACGTTTATCTCAGTTTATGACAAAAGCAACTAAAACTTTTTTAGTTTTGTCAGTGTTTTAGTCCGGGCTAAGAGAATTCAGAGTTCGCTTCAGTGTCGCTTTACTCATTCATGTAAATCCCTTTGATTTAAATAATTTTATAAAAGCTTTAAAACCCACCTATTTTTATTTTATATTGACCACATATTAAGTCATGATACGTTACTAGTCACGAACTATAAGTCATGCCACGGCTGGATATAAAATAAAAAATTATAAAAACACATTATTTATAAGAATATGCAGTGTTTTTACAAATAATCTATTAAAAATGGGTAAATATGAAGATTTAATGCGATCGCCAACACCAAACTTTAGTTTTTGTCTTTACACCAGTAACTAATAGTGACACTCCAAGATGCTTTTAATTGATTTTCCAGCCAAAAGGCTGCTTTTGAAACAGCGCCAACAATCCAGCCCCCGTCCAAAAGAAAAAAGAAAAGGAGTGTCCCAGCAACTGTCTGCTATGATAGTTTAATTTGAAAAACATATAAAGTAGAAACTATGATCACGGACGAGATGAATTTTACTGCATCTCCCTCCACACGAATGCAACAGACAGGTGAAGAAATATAAAGACCCCCTGCAGAATTAGCACAAGAGGCCTCGAATATTTGAAGATAAATCGAATGATGAATTCCAAATGTGCTTTTGATTAAAATGTGGATAAATAGCCAACACAAATCATTATAAAACATCATCTTTCAAAGATGATTCCGGCTCCACAGCGCTACATAATTTTAAACAATTTTTTGCCTTAGTAGCAGATATTCTGGGAAAAGATGGGGCTGCACTAAACAACAAAACCATTGTGACAAAACTAAGTTCTCAATCAAGGTGTCACTCATGCTCTATCAAAGTAACTAACATGAGATTTACTTTATTTCAGATTCAAACATTAATTGTTAAAATTATTTAAGTAACAACTATATATGTTGGGAAGTTATGCCATTTTGGTTTACTCCAATAAATTTGATGAAGCACTTATGTTACATTAACAAATAGCTTGTGGCAAACATGCCAAATGAAGACCGATGGTGTGTTTAGAAGCAGCAATCATAATTGTGATGCCACTTGTGCAGCCTTGACACTGTCGTGCGCCATATTTTCTTACCGTGCCCTTGTCTTGCAGGCACATCATGAGCGTGCAAACATCTCCAGTGGACTGATGATTGACGATGACCATGGCTTCTTCTTCCGAGATGGGTCGCACGTCATCCCCCCACTCCGTGACTGAAAGGCAAAATAGGTTTAGATTAATCATCAAGTGGAAAGTTCAGAAATATCATCTTGTCTGTATAGTTTGAGAGGTGATCACGAAAGTCCCGTTTTTTTAAATTCTCCAAATATTTTCTTGAATACGTACTGCTTTGAGTTTCAGCTCTTTGGAATTTAGTCATACTTCCTGAGTTTGAAACTTTGAATTTTACCTGGATACAATGTTTTCTCTCATTAAAATTATGGTGTTTTCATTAATGCAAAAATATTTGTTTTAATTCTTAATGCTGCCACAAACTGCTAAAAAAAAGCAGTATTAAGACCATTAAAATGTGGACACAAAATCAGCCATTATATAGTTTTACCCTCCTTAAATAAACAAGCTTCCTCATTTACTGCTATAAACACTGGGAACAAGCCATGTTGTTACTTGCAAAAGGCATAATTGTAGAATGTATCCAGTGGAGGGCGCATGAGGACTACTTTCAAGTCATGGTCGTTCACTTTAACTTTCACTTTCAGCACAGCCGAAGCAGATAGCAATACTATGTATATGTTGCTGAACAGAGCACGGTGAGTTTATTGTAAATGATCTGTAAAATAAAAAACAAACAAGCAAATTCACTTCAATCCTCCAACCCGATAGTCCATTGATACTCATCGCACGGCTCGCGAGCCACATGCGGCTCGCCGTGCTTTATTGGTGGCTCTCGTGACAGGTTACAACAATACGCCAGCACAGCCAATACATTTTTCAAACGTGATGGCGCATTGCGCAATAATTGCGTATGTCGGCTCGGGCTTCTTTGATGCGGTTTTACGAATAATATTGTGTTAATCTACTTGTTGAGGAGGAGGCAGGTCTGACCGGCCAGTAGAGCTAAAAAAATAAAAATAAAAAAAGTCCTGTTAAGCTTCAGAAGGATCAGCTGATCATCATTGGCCACGCGCATCCGCTGACCCACCGGTCAAAAGACGTAAAAAACGCCCTGTTAATCTCAGATGGATCGGCTACCGGCCGCGCGCGTCTCCGCACCTGCTGTCATTTGCGGTGAAGGAAGTAGAAGCATGTTACAGGGCCGGTTCTAGGCATGGTTACATGAGGGGGCAGGTGGAAATGTGAAGGGGGCATCTTCATCCGCACACATATAACAACATATTCATTGTTGAGCATGGAGTTTGATATTCATTGTTATTGTTGACTTGTGTTTTCTTCATGGGATTGGGGTAATAAAAGCTGAATTTTTACACCTGTGAGTCAACATTTCCAACCATGAACATTATCAGGCAAAAACAGAGAAACCAACTGACCCATGCCCATCTTGAATGCCTCACTGTGGCTGCAACAAGTTACAAATACAACATGAAGAAAGTCAAGGACATGCACCACAGCTTACGCCAGGGGTGGGCAATTATTTTTTCCATGGGGCCACATGAGAAACAACAAATATTGTGGAGGGCTGGCACAAATGACTTTTTCATTCAACCTTTATTTAGACAGGTAAATCCCATTGAGCCTCGAGGACTCATTTACAAGAGAGACCTGATTTCAAGTTAACTCAGTACTGCATAATAATAGTATTTCATTATTAAAAGCAGTACATAGCACTGTTTTAACAAGCTGGTAAGAGTATTTGTTATGATTAAGCAACGAAAAAGCGAGGTTTCCTTACAAAAAATTTCATTTATTCAATTAAATTTCCCAATACAATGGTAAACTGTTAACATTTTTACCATTTGTGACGTTATATTAATGATCATTTTCAGTCACATTCACCCCAAAACTCATTTTGAGTTTTATATACTGCTGGAAAAAGTTCTTAGCTTTCTAAATATATCACAATATTGTCTTTGTACTCCATATATTATGAAACATCATATAATAGTGATCATCACTGAACTGTGATTTCGAGTCCCGGTTCTTTACGTGCCTACATTTGTAGTCTAAACATCTCATTTGGTGTTTATCAGTTCTTTTTTCTTGTTTAGTGAGAGAAGTCTAGTCTCTGTTGGGCTTTAATGGAAATGTTAAAGTCAGGTTGAAGGTCTGAGGTGGAGATGTGAAGCAAAGCTGACATCATCAGTGATAGAGGATTTATGTCTGGATTTGGTTAACTTCATTTGTTTACATATGTATTTTGCAATTCCCCTTACAGGGGCCGGTCAGAGTCAACCAAAGGGCCGCATGTGGCCCTGGGGCCGTACAATGCCCAGGTCTGGCTTACGCTCATCTCAGCACTAAAGTACAGTTTGTTTAAAACAGATAATGTTCTGGCTGTGTTTCTTTTTTGTTCATAGGAGGGTTGTTTAATTTTTTCTTTTATTTAATGGCTTGGGGTGATATCGTTGCTCTCCCCTTGACTTTGATCTGTCAATATGGCTCTTTTGAAAAAATAGTGAGGATCACTGCGCTAGTCATCAGCTATGTGCCTCTCAAGTTAGCAAGCTAACGTTTAGATAACCTAACATAGGGAAGGGTGTTTCTTTGTTTAATTTATATTTTTGTAATACACTTGATAACTGTATGGTGAATAGTGGAGGATAGAAAATGTGAATGCACGTTAGGAAGACTGTTTCAAGAAGTGTTAAAACACATTTAAAAGTAGCTGTTTTCTTGGATTCTTGGGGATAGACAGAGCTCAAAAATGTTCTGCCATTATATTGGTTATTGGCATTAAACACAAAACCCACTCCAATATCAGTATCGACAACAGACAAAATGTCCATATCAGTCGGGCTTCTAGTTTCCAGGATAGAACTTGTTTGTCTAGAACATCCCACAGAGGCTTCACTGGACTGAGATCTGGATAAACTGAAGACTAAGTCAATTCTTCATTGTTGCTGAGTTCGTCAAACGGTGAACCATTTCTGGAAGAGTAGCATGGCAAAGAAAGAGGCCACTGCAAACAGGAAATACCATTCACTTGGTGGGCAACAATGTTTAAGTAGGTGATAAGTGTTGAAGTGACATCTATATGAATGACAACAAGAGCTTTTTATAGCAGAACATCGCCTAAAGTGTCACAAAGCCCACCCTGACGCCTCTTTCGCCTTCGTCCACCCTGATTCAAGAATTCAAGTATCTTTATTACCATTCACATCATATGTGGTACACGAGGTGGAATGAAATTGTGTACACAGGTCCCAATTACAGCCAACAATAGCAAAAATGTAAAGTGTAAAAAGAAACAGTAAGTAAGGATATCAACTAAGATATATGCTAAACGAACACCCAGCGGTACACTAAAAGATCTAAGATACGCTAGTCACTAATAGTGCAAAACAATACACCGAACAACAGCAGCACGATTCTCATAGGTTCGTTATGGCTATAATTTACACGTTTAATGCGAGCACTGACATAAACTAAACTAACATGAACTAGGATTTATTCAAAGCATGCAACAAAAATACAGAAACAAGGCGCCAAAAGTGAAAATGAACTAAATTTACAGCAGCATGGTCCTATTGACAGAGATACGGTCTTTCCCAGGTAAGCAACATAAATACTTGAGTATCGGTATATATATATATATATATATAATGATGCTAAAGAAACTGTCAAAGTGCAAAGCTAAAAGTATTCTAATGGCATGCATTGGCTATCTTTAATTATAAAAATAAAACACCATTGCAAAACCTTCCCCTCCAAATTTCCACAAACAGTGAGGGATGACTTAAAAGGTATTAAACTTAAACCTTAACACACAGTATGAGAAAAAACAAACAGTTTATCTGAGGTAATGAGTTGAGTCAGCTGGGTGTGTTTCAATGTGTCAACACGGCTGAAATAGAGTAAAGTGAGATGTCTTTAAGTACACAGAGAAAAAAGTACTTTGTTCCTGCCAGCAGTCAAAACGCTTTAAAACAACAATACTTGACCCCGTTTCGTGTTACAAAAGTATGCCGCCGCATACAACAAACTACACAGGCCTGGAGACCTGCTCCACGTCCATGCCTGAATTCAAACATGCGATGTATATATAGGCTTAGTCTGACTAATCTGGACTTTGTACTTTAACCAAATGGCTTTCAGTTCAGTGCAAGTCAAAACAACAAGCATTTATAGGCCTCACACTTTCTTTTAACTTTATTTCAGCCTGAAAGGATTGAATTTACAACAGCTTTTAACAAAAGTCTTCATTAAGTTATTAGAATAGAATGGTATAGAACCGGGGTTCTCAAACTTTTAGGGTTCAGGGACCCCCCAGTTCCCCCCCCCCCCCATGTTTATTAAATAATTGTCTTCAATTTGTCTCTTTAATGCAATGGAAATATTTGTGTAAAGTAAATACTCAAGACCTGTTCTTTAATAGTGCTAATACAATTTTTATACTTTTAAATTCAAGACACACTTAATTAACAATATTTTTAATTTCAGCGTCCAAAAATTAACAGTTTTGCTAAAATGAACAGTATCAAAAACTACTTTCAAACTTTAACTATTCACACAATGAACATAATAAATGTATTGCTACTTCTCCAAATTATTACAGTAAAGGTTAAATCGTGTCTTCTGGACCAGTTGGACACGATTTAATCTTTTTTGTTGTTATGTACCTGGATGATTGAGCTTACAGACCTTTTTTTCTAATTATTACAGAAAACTGTTGACAAAAAACTGAACAGAATCCTAACAGGAGTAGTCAAACCAAGTAACAGGGCTTAATGTGTAAACCGATCGATGCTGGAACGCAAATAGTGGGCGGGCTAGCGGCAGGGTGGGGGTCTGGGGGTCCTCCACCTAAAAAACTTTGAATAAAGTAGATGTGATTTTCTGCATTTTGGTGTATTTTAATGGGTTGTTAAACATCTACGAGCTTGTAAAAAAATTAAAATTAAATTTTTGGCAGACCCCCAAGCACCAGCTTGTGGACCCCTGGGGGTCTGGGGAATCCAGTTTGAGAACCACTGGTATAGAATATACATGCATTTGTCCCTCAGCAGAGAAATGCACATTGTTGCAACAGCAAAGATAATGACTAATATCAAATATGAAAGAAACGGTCATGAGA